GGGTTCCGAAATATCGGGAAAATAAAAAGAAGTCATACCGTGGTAAGAAACCTGATATTAGTGATAATCATTTAGTGAATAACCACGAAAGTCTTAAAATCTATATAGATTTAAATGTAATACTTTAAACTAATGACTTCAACAATTTGTAATAGTTTACTTAAGAATATTTGTCCGCCATTATTGGCAGATTTTTTTTTATTTTTTTTTTTATACTTAGCACTATTATTTACTAAACATCAAATTGTTACACCAAAAAATCGCACAAATAAAGAAATTTCATTTCATTTCGTTCATTTCATTCATTTCGATCATTTCGTTCATTTCGTTCATTTTGTTCATTTCGTTCATTTCGTTCATTTCGTTCATTTCGTTCATTTCATACACTTCATTCATTTCGTTCATTTCATGCATTTCGTTCATTTCATTCATTTCGTTCATTTCATTCATTTCGTTCATTTCTCTCATTACGTTCATTTCACTCATTTCGTTCATTTCACTCATTTCGTTCATTTCACTCATTTCGTTCATTTCACTCATTTCGTTCATTTCATTCATTTTGTTCATTTCGTTCATTTCGTTTATTTCGTTTATTTCATTTATTTCATTTCTTTCATTTCATTTCATTTGAAACGTCAATATTTTTGTCACGAATTGAGACGAATTTTTTGTCCCCGCTTCCGCTCATACTACGTCTCGGTTCCCAAAATGGGTACACCATAATTCATTAGGTTTCTATAAATAAGTAACATAATATCACCTATTTTTAGTATCAGGAAAACTCCTTGTGAAAAATTTCGTCCAGAGACTTACTACCAGTTTACCTATTTCTGTCGCCAAGCAAGCAATGTGAGCATTACTGCGTTCCGGTTTGGAAAGGTGTTGGTGAAATTACAAGCACATGAGACTTGTCAACTTATGTCTCAGGGTGACGGGCACAGTGGCAGTGCCCCTGAGATTTTCGCGATGAACAGCTCTAATTGGCATTGCAACTGTTCGTCCTGTCACTTGGTTATTATAAAAAAGACTTCTACGTTAGCTTTTTCTCGATTATATGTATATAAATGGAAACTTGAAATTGACAAACTTATTAAGAGTCCTACCTCTGCTCGAATCCATATTTTTCCCGTGTTAATAAGGTTCAGTTTGCTTGGGTCGAACAGCAGAGACACTGGCTTTATTTCTGACTTTACTTTTTTACAAACGAAACTACAGCCATTTGAAAAATGTATATCGTATAATATAGTCATGTTCTATTTAGTTCAGTTGATATGGAAAGAATCATTGGGGTTTTTTTGCACTTTTCTTGTAAAATTTCGAGGTATGTTGTCTTTTTTTGGTGAAAATTTTCAGGAATTGTGTTTTCAAACCATATAGTAATCAATGTATTACCTCAATTTTACTATATATTTATAAGCAAAGCCATTTGAGGTAGTATAAACTCTAAAACACTAGTAATTTTTTATATCATGCACCATTTTACTCGAGACAAACAATAAAGTTTAACCGAAATATTTTGAATTATATTTCTGAGGAAATATTATGCTGCTATTATATTTTCATGTAGTGGTCTGTGACGCCCGCACGAAACAACACTGTTGGCATATAAGAATTACAAATCGTAGCTTGAAATTCAATTTTGTTTTTAAGGTTCCCACCCCAGCCGTCAGGCAGCCGTTAATATATGACACCGTTATGTCTTTGCCTTACCTGCATCTACATTTGGTTCGATTCACTTATGCTTATAGGTGTCGGCATTCAGATACTCTCTCCTGTACACCTACATACGAAGAGTGGAGTTTAATAGGATTCATGAAATTGTAAACCGCATCGATTGACACACGTATTTCTAGAACGAATTTCCACGGTACGCGACCCTGACCGTCTGCTTTTGAATGATCATGAGAGCGAGATACATTAAATTTGTTTTTTATTTCTTCACTTGAAACGTTAGTCTCCCCGTCCAATTAAAATAGTTTTCAATGCAAAAGCAAGAAATATAATATAAATTTAAGCTGTACAGAAGCACGTCATTATCGCTGATAACACATAAGACTGCTTACGTACTTGTAAGCCTTATTGTAACCCTTCAATGTATTGTCTAATGAGGCTGAGCAGTCTCAAGTCTCTCCAGCTCCACCTTCTACTATTTGTAAAAGTTACAAGCTACATAAATTGAAGTATATATAGACGAATTTTGATTTTTATATTATTTTATATTGTCTTTACGCTACAACACGATTTGAAATACTGTATAACAAAACACAATCCGACCTTTATACATGTATCTAAGTAGTACGTAATAGATTCTGCCGGAAATAAACCATTCGTTGTTTTTTCTGATACGAAAAATGTAAAATGAAATTTCGATTTCCGTCGACGACATTTCCTCTAGTCATTATGCGAATATTTATTTAAAGCTTGTACGAGATCCTGTTGCCAAGCGTCGCACTTAATACGAGGCACAATTTTCAACTTCATCTGACAAATTTCAATAATCATTTTACTGCCAACACGGGAGTCACCGGTATAATTACTTATATAATATGAAAGTAATTAGACACACGCTATATATAGCTGTATTGTAAAACACGATGAACAAAACGCCAATTTGAAAAGTTTGTAGAACTTTTAGGAACACTACAGCAACCAATAACAATGTAATAGCTCAAACAAAAACTTATCCATATCGAATTCGAAAACTCTCACTGCTCCGGTGTGTGGGACTGTCGGACGCTACCGTGCCCGCACTTACCTCAACATTGAACCTATCGGGGAGGGACGCAAGCTCGAAGCTCAGTGGAGAGTTGGTCGAGTCAGTAGGCGGTCGGCGACTTGGCGCAGATACTTTGCAACGGTCATGCACGGAATATGGACGTGTGGAGCGGCCGCCCGCCCGCCACATGCGTACACGCGTCGGCTTCACTAAACGTCGAGACCTCCGAGCAGTTCGGGCTAGCCTTCTTCGACAAAGAGGACCCTCCAGCCCCTCCGCCGCAACTCATACAAGGTGTGTTTTGTTTCCTGAGAGCCTTGCCACTCTTGGCGGTAAGTTGCGGATGGCGTCTGATGCTTTTATGAAAAATGTTAAGTTTTCGTTCTTCGTTGGTATTTGTTTCGTGGTCTTTTATTTGCCTCCGTCGATGCAAAAATAAGTTTACGAAGTTTTCAAAAGTATGAGAAACTTTGGAGATCCGCGGAAGTAGTTTCGTAAACTTTATTAGCGTGAAAATTTATTAGCGTATTTAGTTTTAAAATATAATTTATATAAATAACATAATGTGTAAGTATACAACATGATTTTGTATTGCATACTTGTTATTAATACGAAAGGTTCAAAGTTGTCATTTCAACCAGGCGTGAACTCTATAGTTAATGCGTTTACAAAAATTTGTGGTTTGTTTTTTAATATAATATATATCTAAATATGAATGAATAAAAATATGAAAAGAATGAATGAATAAATGAAATGTTATTATCTTTCACAAAAGAAACTTACAGTTATATACGTATGGCCGCACATGTTATTAAATTTAGTTTCATTTACGAAAGTTTGGTGTCCATACTAGGACACCACTTCTAAGCATATGCAAGAAAGATAGGCATAAGGCAAAGGATACAGGTACTTAAACTATTGCAAAATAAGGCAAAGTGAAAGCAAAAATTAAAATTAACTGTTGTTAAATCACCTTTAAATATATATTTGTCGTAATGAAATACACTATTGCACATAGTTCTTAGGCTTTTGCGATTGTTACACATAGAACGTGAACCTTTTTTTTCGCGTACATTTGTTTTTTCAAATAAACCGTTTCAGGACCTTTACTGATCCCGTGGTCACCTCTAACTGAGTTTTCTTGTAATTTGTTACCTTCTCAGATATTTTGTATCGCACAGTATAAATTGCACTGCTAATCAAGGGCTCTCCACTAAATCGTGAGGCTAAACGATAAAAGTTTATCACACAAACCTGCGAAGTTACAAAACATTTTTTATATGTATGTATTATACATTCTAAAAGAGTATCTCATTATAGAGTATATACAGATTACAATTCGTTGTTGTTTGTCGTAAGTTGTTTACAGAAATATATTGAGTAAATACATTTGCATAGTTTATTTAGGTAATTACGATTCGTATACATGTGTTCGTATTTTTAACTTCGTAAGATTTCGTACAAAAATCAAATTTCTATTAAAAAAACAATTGCCATACCTTGATACTGTACCACACGTCTGTAATTAAGTAATAATCAGACGTCGGAATAAGTAAACAACCTAAACTTTATTATTAAATACCGGAATTATAGTAATTTGTGGTATATTTTTGATCTATGATTAGTAATTTCTTTAGTAAGTAGTCTAGTCTATTTAGTAGATTTAGAAGAAACATTTTGAAAATTATCTAAATAAACAAGTATATTAAACTAATTGGAACAATGCAATGCTACTGCTAACAATGTCGTGTCATGTGTTTGTATCAGAGACGTATCCAATACGAGTCACATTTCAATCTAAAAAAAAACGAAATGGTTTTCCCAAAGATATTTTCTTTTACTTAATTTCATATTAATATTCAATAGATTTATTGCATTTCTACATTGTTTCATTACATCTAGAATACATTTAAATATAAGAGAGAGTACACTTAAATAATTAATTAATACATTTCATGCTTAAGTATAATAATAATAATAATTACAAGAATAACTACGACTATAAAAAAAAACTTGAAGAAATACAATTTTTTCGGATTTTGATAATAAATATAATAAATATCTCGTTATATAAACACTGGCCACATAGCTTATTAGAAATCAAATAGATTCGCTCTGGACCTTTTGGAGGGAAAAGTGTCGTTTTTATTTTGACTTTCAATTATTTTGTGAAATCTAGTTTAAAGTGGAATAGGATAGTGCTATTGTGCCTTAATCGAAGATTAAAACGCGAAATTATACGAATCTCGAACTAAAATACCCGTATCGGCCCGTTCTAAGGAATCCCGAGTCAATCTAAGCACGCCGCCTTAATTTGCCTATCCTCTTGTGGCGGTCATATTTACAGAAAAACTTATTTTTATGTTTTCGGCTGAAGGACTTTGTTTATTTTTTTTGTTTATTTTTTTTGTTTATTTGTTTGTTGTTTGAAATTAATAAAAAAAAAGAAATCAAATGGCAACTTCAAAGTCATTCCTTTTTTAAATTAAACGTTCAATCTTGTATATGTGGCCAGTTCATATGAACATTGTCATCATAATTCAACCTTTTTGAGCGTTCCTCTAAATACGTCCATAAGTGTATTTTGTAACTATAAAAAATAAAAGGTAAGAAATAAAATAAAAAGCTTTTCTTCCAAGCACACTGCTGTGGTAAAGTAATTGCGAGTGATGAATAAAATATATACAACAAAATACTACACAATAATTCCAATTTTCAGAGGAAGATACTATTCACTCCATCTGTATTACTTATTGAAAGTTCAAATAAATATACTCAGCCTATCTCTTCGGTAGTTAATACTAGAACATTTAAAACTAAGTAAAAGTAAAATACATTTTTTTATGATGATGGCTTGCACACCGGTTTTCACGGTATAGCCATCTCTGAGGCCCTGGGTTTGATCCCCGGCCGGGTCAATGTAGTAATACTTTTCTACATGTTTCCATAAAACAAGTATTATTATTCTTAAAGTTTTTTTATGGTACGAAGTGACGGGACGAACAAGTCGTGCACCTGGTGGTAAGCGACACGCCTGCCCATAACAGTTGCAGTGTCCTCAGAGCTTTAAATCGCAAAGATCTGTGAGGCACTGCCACTGCGTCCGCAACCCTGAGACATGTTGATAAGTCCCATACGCATGTAATCTCACCAGCACCCTTACCTTTCAAAACCGGAACGTAGTAATGCTCACATTACAGCTTAGCGGCAGAAATGGGTAAGATGGCAGTACTTTCCTGGACGAACTGGCCGAAAACGTACTAAAGCAGATGTAAATACGCTTATTTTCGTCCAAAATCAAGCCGGGAATGGCCTGCCTCTGGCATGAAGATAACCCGGGTTCGGTTCTCTGTGAAGTGTATATCACCATCCCGCTTTTTTGTCGTCACGAACCTATACTGAATTGTAATAAGAGTTCATGGCAAGGCCCCTGTTCTCGGCCCAACATCGCATCTGTCAGAAACAATTACTGTCAAAAAAGTATGAAGCTTCACGAATAATATCAAGTATGAAGATTACTTATTTGACAGCAATTGTATCGGAGAGATGCAATGTTAGACGGAGAGAGTAGTCTCTAGATTTCATTTTTTGTAAGTTATAGGATGTAAACATTGTTGATACTGTATATTTCCGACCGATGACACGGTATAGTTAATAAGCTTCCCTCTCCAAAGAGATTTTTTTATTTACAAAATAAATATTATTACGTTACGGCATACACGTAAAAACTCAGATCCTGTACCTTTTTTCAAATTAAACCAGTCAGCCGTGACCATGGGACCTGTAAAGGGTTCGAAACGTTAGTATGTTTGAAAAAAATAAATATACGCGATAGTAAACAATAGTTTTATTTCCTTTGGATAGGCAGACTAATAGCGATCGGTTTTGACAATTTTTTTGTGTGAATGTTCGGCGAATACTTTGACATTTGTCAGTAGTGGCCCCATTCAAATTTGAAGGAAATATTCCACCTCTAACGGTGGCAAATTAGAGGATGAATCCACTTTACTATATTTTATCAGTAGAGCTCCTTGTGAAAGAGCTCTTCCAGGGAAGTATTTATTTGTTTATTTATTTATTGGCAAACCAACTGAATTACACATATTATATATTGATTATTAGAGATTCGACGAGTACAAGTTTTTACCGAGTAACCGAGTACCGAATATTACTCGGTTTAACATTTGCCGAGCCGAGTACTCGGCCGAGTTACTCGGTTCATTACAACCGGAACGCGATGACCCTAAAAGTCCCATTGCTCTAGAACTAGACCGATATGTCAATGAACGTTTTTTGTCGCGACAGCAGAGTCCTTTAAAATGATGGGCAGGGCAAAAAACGAGTGTTTTCATGTGCACCTAAAAGCACTGTGTATAGCAATCGGTTATTTTCCGAAGCGGGTAATGTGTATAAAGAAAAAAGGAACAGACTATTACCTGAACGCGCAGAAAGCCTTGTATTCCTACATTATACCTTCCCCTTGTTAAAATTTAAATATTAATAATGTAAACTTTCTTTTTAAATTACAAAATTGTTACAAACTGTTACAATTGTCTAGAATTTGTGTAATAAATCTGTTTTGATTATTATAAATATATTGTTGGTTTTACTTTATTATATCTATAGCTGTAATGCGTTATTTTAACCGAGTACTCTTCTCATGAACCGAGTTATTCGGCCGAGTACGAGTAATAAAAATGGCCGAGTACACCAAGTACCGAGTAGCAAACGAGGACTCGGCACATCTCTATTGCTTATACTAGATATTACATGTAGTTTATATAGTACTTATGTGTATTCCAATTATAGGTACGCTTGTATCTGGATTAAAATGCTGACTCACAAACTTTAAAAGTTTCTGATATTTAAGAATTTCAAACATGCATTGGACTAGATTTACTAAAACAAAGTAAAATCAAAGTTAAAATTTAGTAGCGGTAGAGGTCCTTGTGAAAGAGTTCGTCAAGGGAAGTGCTGCCATCTTACCTATTTCTGCCGCCAAGTAGCAATGACAGCGTTACTGTGTTCCGGTTTTGAAGGGTAAGGGTGCTGGTGAAATTACAGGCACATGGGACTTGTCAACTTATGTCTCAAGGTGATGGACGCAGTGGTAGTACCCCTCAGATCTTTGCAATTTAAAGCTCTGAGTGGCACTACAACTGTTATGGACAGGCATGTAGCTTACCATCAGGCGCACGACTTGTTCGTCCCGTTACTTGAAATTATTAAAAAAAAAGACAACGCACACAGCGACAGCGGATATGCAAACTTTTAAGATTGGATTTTTTTTCATAAAACAGTTTCAATTACTGTCGTAGCTGTTCTCTGTTTA